AAGAATTTTATAGTTTTAATTCTTACATTTAGAATCTTTTAAATGTAATTCTTATATTTAGGTCTTTTAGGTCTTTGATCCACTTTATTTTTCATTTATGATATGTGGTAGGAGTCTAATTTTGTTCTTCTACATGTGGAAATCCAGTTTTCTCAGCACCATTTGTTGAAAAGATCAAATGGTCTTGGCACCTTGTTGAAAATCATTTGACTGTATATAGGGAGGTTTCTTTCTAGGTTTCCTATTCTATTCTGTTGGTCCGTATGTCTAGCCTTAGGTCATTGCTATGTTATTTAGATTACTGTCACTTTGTAGTAAGTTTTAAAGTCAGGAAGTTTGAGTCCTCCAACTTTGTTCTTTCTCAAGATATCTTTGGTTTTCAGAACATGGATTATGTTTCTTCGTATTCATTTTGCCAACTTCTGCTCTTAATTGGAGATCAGCCGGACTAATTTAAAATACACTTAAACTATGCAATGTTAAGTGCCTGACGTGACACTTTTTAATTTTCGTATAAGTGCCTGACATTAAGCTCTTGATTGCTGAGGCACCCATGTCAAAAGATATACATCTTGAAAAACATACTGCCAGCTGTATGACACAGCTACAAGCAGAACAACCAGATAAGGAATTAGGCTGCCCCCACCCATTAAGATCCCTCTTTCAGACTAACTTCTGCCATTTAACTCTTTTTTGTGTTTCTTTATGTGACTTTCCCCCTTAATTCTCCCTTCACTGTTTCTTTTTGTATTTAGTTGATTTTTATAATGTGCCATTTTAATTTGCTTCTTTGCTGTTCTTTATTCTTTGTTTTTTCTTTGTGAGAAATCTTAGAGATTAAAATTAATATAACAACCTACTGTGAATAATACCAACTTAATTTCAGTATCACACAAACACTCTGCTGGTATACACTTCATCCTTCCCCTTTTATACTATTATTGTTACAACCTACATTGTTATATACTGTCTGCCCATTAACACCAACTTATAGCTGCTGTTTTATATATTTACCTTTTAAATCATACAGGTAAAAATAGAGTTAAGAACCAAAGTTGAGTAATTCTTTTATATTTACTTGTGTAGTTACCTTTACCTATGCTACTTACTTCTTCAGAAGTCTTTGAGTTACTGTCTAGAGCCCTTTAATTTCAGCCTGCAGGACTCCTTTAGCTAATTTTTTAGGGCAATTCTAAGAGTAACAAACTCACTTAGCTTTTATCTAGGAATCTCTTCATTTCTCTTTCATTCTTATAGCATAGTTTTGCCAAATGAAGAATTCTCGGTTGACAGTTGTGTGTGGTGTTGTTTTGCAGCACTTACAATATATCAACTGGCTGACTTCTGGCCTCCCAAGATTTCTGGTGAGACACTGACAGTTTTTTGTTTTTATTTTTATAATTTTTAAATTTTTTTTATAAACATATAATGTATTATTAGCCCCAGCGATACTGACAGTTTTATTAACGGTTTCTCATATGTGACAAGTCGCTTCTCTCTCACTGATTTCAAGTTTCTGTTTTTATTTTTTCATAGCTGATTACGAAGTATCTGTTTGTAGGTCTCTTTGAGTTTATCCTACCTGAAATTCATTGAGCATCTTAGTTTTACAGACTTATGTCTCTTCTCAAATTTGGGAAGCTTTCAGACATTATTTCTTCAAATATGCTCTCTAGTCCTTTCTCTTCTGCTGAGATTCTCACACTTATAAATTGGCTCACTCAGTGTATCATAAGGCCAATTAGTGAACAGTAGGCTCTGTTCACTTTTCTTCATTCTTTTACCTTCTCTTCCTCAGACTCAATAATTCAATTGTCTTCAAATTTGCTGATTTTTTCTTCAGCTTGTTGAAATCTGCTTTTGAAGTCCTTATATATATCTCACTTCAATTTTTATTGTACTTTTTATTTTCAGAATATATTTTTTCATTCTGTTTTATAATTTCTGTCTCTTTATTGCTATTCTCACTTTATTCATATGATCCTTTCCTATCTTTGTCCATGTCTTCCTTTAGCTCTTTAAGTAACTTTAACTTAGTTGGTTTAACGTCTTTGTCTAATAAGTCTGACATCTGGGCTTCCTCGGGTATACATTTTATCAATTTATTTTCTTCCTTGAATGGGCCATAATTTTCTATTTCTTTGTATGTCTTGTGATTTTTTTGTTGTTGTTGTTGAAAAGAACACTGGATTCTTATAATGTGGTAACTCTAGAAATCAGACCCCTGCCTCCTATGATTTCTTATCGTATGGTGTCTCTGTGCCAGGGATCAGCCTGATGAAAAAGCACTAAGGTCATCTCTGGTCTTTTCTGAGCTTTCATCTTCCCCAAGCCTTTCTAAATTCCCTCATTTATAGAGTAGTTCTTGAATGCCCAAAAAACAAACAAACAAGTGAACAGATATGGCCCCTTTAAGTCCTCTGGAAGCTACCTGAGCCAGTAAAACTTGATACCATGGCAACCACTCTTTGTGCCTATACCTCCACATTCCAAAGCAACAATTCATAATCAGAACATCAAATGATATTGAGGGCAGAGTCTTTATTGTCCACTCTGGCTCCAGCAAGCTGTGCCAGAAACACAGGTTGCTGTCCAAACAGGGTTGCCTACCGTGGGGGTGGGGATGAGGGATGGGTAGCTAATACCACACTGAGGACTGAAATCAACCAATACTAACTACAACTTACCAGCTAAACTTTATCTTGGAAGCTGCAAGTATTCGAACAGACTCCAGAGTTCCAAAGCTGTAGCTTGAGATCATTTCTGCAGTACAATAGTTAACTAAGTGGACATATGTTTTTCTGGAGCTTTCTACTCTGCCTTCTTTCCTGATATCAGCTTAGTCAGTTGTTTTTTTGAAAGTCTCTCAAATTTGGGTTTCTCTCATGTATTTTTATGATTTGACAGAGATTATGAATTATTGACAAGGACACTACATAGGTAATGTGTCCTCCTCAGTGTGTCATATCAGGAGTTACCTGATGTCAATATATATTATTGGTGATGTTAACCTTGGTCACTTCCATAAAATGGGGTCTGCCAACACTCTACACTGTAGACTTACTACTTCCTCCCTTATAATTACTAAATATTTTAGGGGAGAAACTCTGAGATTATGAAAGTATCCTTCTATTTAAACTTCCCCACTTATTTCAGCATCTGTCAGCAGGCCTGGCCCATGGGGAATTATTACTCTGGTATTCTGATGGTGATTTTTTTTTTTTTTTTTTTAAGATTTTGAGAGTGGGAGTGAGAGCGAGAACACGAGCAGAAGAGGGAAGGGGCAGAAAGAGAGAGAGAGAGTGAGAGACTCCCCACTGAGCAGGGAGCCTGATGTGGGACTCAATCCCAGATCCTGAGATCATGACCTGAGCCAAAGGCAGACACTCAACCAACTAAGCCACCCAGGTGCCCTTGACGATGATTTTCCTATTTTCCTCATTCCATCTAACACTTACATACTGGAATTTTCAGTGAGAAAGAGGTGTTACTTTCTCTGAATTTTTTCACATATCAAGTTATTTATGTCACTAGGGAATTCAGGATATTTATTTTGTCATTCAGTATTGTAAGTATTTATTTTATTGTTCAAGTTGTTCTAACTATGGCCATTTCTGATCTTTAGTTTGGCTCCTATACCTTTAAAATGCTTGTTTTCTTTAGCATTTCTTTACTTTCTGGTACCACAAGATGCTCCAGACTCATATTTTAATTACTCAACTCACACAGTGTTCTCCAAGGGACAAAGATTCCTGTTATTAAAGAATAGCATTTATAAAACAAGAGCAAAGAGCTAGGTACACTCATTGCTACCAGACTATTCCTGCTTCTAATCCAATTCACTGTTGTTGGGGTTGTTGTTTTTTGTTTTTGTTTTTTTTTTTTCATTTTCATGTTAAAACAAACCATTCTTTTTTTTTTTTTTTTTAGTTTAATTTATTTATTTGACAGAAAGAGTGAGAAAGAGAACACAAGCAGGGGGATTCGGAGAGGGAAAAGCAGACTCCCTGCTGAGCAGGGATCTCAATGCCGTGCTTGATCCCAGTATCCTGGGATCATGACCTGTGCCAAAGGCAGACACTTAACAACTGAGGCACCCAGGCACCCCTAAAACAAAGCATTCTTGGGGCTAATCCCACTTGATCAGGATGCATTGTTCTTTTTTAATTGCTGGATCTAATTTGCTAATATTTTGTTTAAAAATTTTGTGCCTATATTCATAAGAGGTATTTTTCTGTGACATTCAGGATAAGTTGAAAAATATATATATCTGTTCTAATTTCTGAAAGAATTTATTTATGACTGGCATTTCATTATTTATTATATGATAGACATTATCTTAGATGGAAAACTGTGGCTCCTGTTGGTCTTTTATTTTTCACTTATTTTCCACTTATATTTTCCACTTTACTTAAATGTAACTTGATGAAGTTCCACTGTATATCACTGGATAGTTTTTTTTACTTAAGCAAAGGCAAAAATATGCAAGAAAAAAATTTCCATCTTATATATAGTGAGTTGATTTTAAAATGTTCTTAAAAGGACACCTGACCAGTTCAGTTGGTAGAACATGTGACTTTTGATCTTGGGGTTGTGAGTTCAAGCCTCATGTTGGGTGTAAGGCTTACTTTAAAAAAAAAAAAAAAGCGACAAAAAACTATAATGCTCATGGGGCAGCTGCATGGCTCAGTCAGTTAAGCATCTGCCTTCAGCTCGGGTCATGATCCTGGGGTCTTTGGATCAAGCCTTCCCCCACAAATCAGGCTCCCTTCATCAGTGAAGAGTCTGTTTCTCCCTCTTTCTCTGACCCTCCTGCTCGTGCTCTCTCTTTCTCTCAAATAAATGAATAAAATCTTAAAAAAAAAAAAAACTAAAATGTTCTTAAAAACTCATTTTGTTCTTTTAAAAAATCTATTCCATAGGAAAAATCAGATTTTTTTGTTTTATTCTTATACTTTTCCATTCAAAAACTACTAAGTTGCCCAAATAAATCACTGTACCTATATATTTCAATAGCTCTCATATCTTCTTCATCAAATTCATCTTCAGCTTCCTTTAACTGTGCAAGAGTCATCTTTTCATATGGTTTAACTAAAACAAAATAAATTATAGATAACTGAATTATATAAAAACCATTTTTTACTTTATAGTCACATGGCTAGAAAATACAATGTATAGATAAATGGAGATAAAGAATATCTTTAATGTTGCAGGTTCTCCAATATATAAATCTATTTTCCAGCTGACTGCTTCAGCTTTGTTTAAAGTGTGAATTTCCCTCCAAATTCACAGAACTACCAACCTACATTTAAAGTAGATGTGAACATCAATTAGACCCCATAAATTTAGATTTCCCAAGTACTTGAAAATCTTGACAAATGAAAATCTTGATCAAAATAGAAGATAATCACAAGGTGAAGGAATATGGCAGAGAAAAGTCTCATTAGGTTAGATACCAGGACATTATAGCTCTGTTACTAACTAGCTTATGACATTTGACAGATCAATTAAAAATTTTATGTGTCAGCACCCTAATTTTAAAAGAATGGGTGGGATTTCTAGTGTTCTTTCTCCCTCTAAGTTTATGAAATACACTTTCACTATCATTATCTCTATCCAGCCCACTAAATGCATAACTGTACCCATTGCTTCTTTCTGTAAACGTAAAACCATTTCTTCAATTTCATCTTTTGGCTCTTCTTTTGGAGGAAGAATGCCAAAATCTCTTAAAATTTCATTCCATTCTGTATCTTCATTTGGATCCTATTAAAAAAATAGAAAATCTATTAACATAATTGTACATTTTAATATGTGTATGTGAAATTGATATATAGCATTTTCAACGATACAATTATTCAGGAGCTCTATATTAGACAATTAGTTTCAAAGACTAGAACAAAGTGGCCTACTTTATCCTCACTTCCCAGCACTAGCAGTACTACATACTTCAATAAATAGGATACATCCTCTACCCTCAAAATTATCCTGAGATGCTTAATAAAAAATCAATTTGGAACATATATATCAAATATTAATGAAGTAAACTCATAAATCATGGAAAATTCTCTGATGACTACAGAAGGCAAACCAATTCACATCATGTACAAATACTGTTTTGTTTTTCTATATAGGCCTTTAAGACCTCCAGGTGAACATGCTTCTCTTTTCAACTGTATAGCTTCAAGGGGTTCTTACTCCCAGGCTAAATGTTAGAAGAAGCTAGGAACTTTTCCATATTTTAAGTTCTAATTATAGTTTCTTTCTAAAAAGTTAACCTTGTTTTCCTTGTAAATTAGACTTTGATATTTTATTTGCTTCTTTTCCAGAAGTTGTAATATATTAACTGTTTTCTTTCTGGTCTGCTGAAAATTTTCTCTGGTATTTCCAGAAGAAGAACTTTTTATACATGAGGGAATACTGTGGCAAAGTATTTGATGGCCTTGAATGATCTCCACATTCTGGTATTCAAATCCTTCCACAGCCCCCTCTCCTTGATTATGGGTGGGAACTGTGACATACCTCTCACCAAAGGAACATGGCAAAGATGAAGAAATGTTATTTATGTGCTTATACTCCAGAACATTATAACTTAATTTATATATATATATATAGAGAGAGAGAGAGAGCATATATATATATAGCTTAATTTTCAAATGATTTGAACTTTCCTAGATATCTTATTAATAATCTATAATTTAATTCTCTTTGGTTAGAAAACATACTTTGTTAAGATTTTGGTTTTTTTGAAATGTATTGACTTGTTTTATAACCCAGTATATGATGTATTTTTGTGAATGCTTAAAAAAAGTGTGTATTCTGCCGCCGATGGGTATATTTCTCTAAAAATCAAAAGATGGTTGACAGATTTGTTCAAATTTTCTATTTTGTTAGCAATTTTTATACTTAGTTGTTCTATCAATTACTAAGAGGAGAGGTGTTAAAATCTCAAATTATGACTGTGGATTTGTTTTATATTTTAGAAGCCTAATTATTAGGCAAATACACAGCTATATTTGTAATATCTTCTAGATTAATTTCTCCTATCATTATGAAATCTTCCTCTTTATTTCTAATAATAATCCTCTTTAAGTTTGTATTCTCTTAAAATTTAAACAATTTTTTGCATCATTTCTTTCAATTTTTTTAGCCCTCTTTCTTCACTTGTAGGATTCCAGGTCCATGTATGTTAACCCATTTAATAATGTCTTCTCTGTTCATTAAATCTCTAATCACTTTTCTTGAATATTTTTTCTCTATTCTTCAAATGGACACTTTCTACTGATGCATCTTCAAGGTCACCTACTCTTCTGCTGACTCTGGTTTGCTGTGAAGCCTGTTTAATTAATTCTTTATTTCACTTGTTAATATTCTCAGTTCTAAAGCTTCCACTTGAGTATTTTATTACTCTATTTCTCTGCTAAGCTTCTTCATCTGTTAATTCATTTTCCTTTAATTCCTTAAAGATATTTACAATAGCTGTTTTAAATTCTTTTTTAACCTCAATATCTGTATAATCTTAGGATGTTTCTATTGATTGCTCCACTTTTTAATATAGATCATATTTTCATCTTCTCTTTTTGCTTATCTAATGATTTTGCACACTAGACATTGAGGATGACAGAGATTCATGATTCTGTTGTGTTGTTCCTCGTAAATGTGCCGATTTTTATACTTTCGGGAAATTAACTTGGCTGGGCTCAACTGAAATGGTCAGCAGCTGGAACCTCAGATCTGTTCCGTTCTTTCACCTTCCAGTGGTGACTTTTTACAGGCTCCTCAGAGTATCCTATGTACATATGTTTAGCTGACCAAGAGTTGGATGGATTTTATATACAGAATTTAAGGTTCCTTTCTACATTACTTTCCTTTCTGAGACTTCCCCACAATTCTCCACCACTCTAGTAGCCCAGTACTTTACCCTCCAACAACTCAATCATTTTCTATCTCCCTGTGACATTGATTGTAGAATGGCCTCAGGTACTCAACAATATCTAATCTTTTTTAACCTATTATGAAGGTTTTAAAGTAATTCACAAATTTGGGGTGCCTGAGTGGCTCAGTGGGTTGAAGACTCTGCCTTCGGCTCAGGTCATGATCCCAGGGTCCTGGGATTGAGCCCAGAATCGGGCTCTCCGCACGGCGGGGAGCCTACTTCCTCCTCTCTCTCTCTGCCTGCTTCTTTGCCTACCTGTGATCTCTGTCAAATAAATTAAAAAAAAAAAAATCCACAAATTCACACTCCTTTTTGGAGAAGTGAAGTTTCATCCCACTCCCATTGAGTAGGCTGGACTCAGTGTCTCAATTCTAATAAACTGAAAACATGATGGAAGTGATACCTCACGATTTCTGAGACTAAGTCAGAAAAGGCATTGCTGCCACTTTTTTCTCTCAATCTCTTTCATCTCTTGCTCTGGGGAAAACCAGCTGCCATGCTGTAAAGATGCTCAAGCAGCCCGTGTTAGTCTGTGGGCTTGTGCTGCCTCAGCAGAATATAAGACTGGGTGGCTTGAATAGAATTTTATTTTCTCATAGTTCTGGAGACTGCAGGTCCCAGATCAAGGTACCAGGCAGGGTTAGTTTCTGGTGAGACACCTGGCTTGCAGGTGGCCACCTTCTTGCTGTATTAACACATGAACTTTCCTCTGTGCACAGAGAAAGACTGGGGAGTTGGCAAGGAGAGAACACTCTCGTGTCCCTTACTCATTTTAGAAGGACACCAGTCCTTTTGGATTAGAAACCTACCTTTATGACTCCATTTAACCTTAACTACCTTCTTAAACATGCTATTTCCAAATATAGTCACATTTGGGGTTAGGGTCTCAACATATGAATTTTGGGGAGACACAGTTCGTTCCATAAAACAGCCCTATTGAAAAGTTCAAATGGTGGAAAACTGAGGCCTCCTTCCAGCAGTCATGTGAGTGAGCCATGTTGGAAGCAGATTCTGCAGCCCCAGCTGATGTGTTAATAATAAATGCTTATTAGGTATTTTGAGCCATAGCCACCTGGCTAAGCCACTCACAAACTTCTGACCTGCAGAAACTTTCAGATAATAAATATTTGTTGTATTAAGCTGCTAGATTTGGGGCTATTTCATCACACCATAATAGATAACTAATATGCTTATTCATGCAGGGGCTTTTGTCTTAGTTTCTTTTTTTTAAACTTCTAGAAATCTTTATTAAAAAATAATCAGAGATGTAAAAAAAAAATTCCTGTTCCCCCATTTACCACAGCAGTATTCATAATAGCAAAACTTAGAAACTTTAGTATTCAGCAAAGAAATTAGAGGTCCATTCAGCTTTTTACTACAAGTATAGTTTCTATTTCTACAAGCTCCTTTCCATTCCTTTATCCATTCATTCTTTTTTTTTGTATTTTAATCAAAGTATTTCATTTTTCCGTTCATTCATTCATTAAAGATTTTAATTCCATTATAGTTACTATACAGTGCTACATTAATTTCAGGTATACAATACAGTGATTCAGCAATTCTATATATTACTCACACTGCTCATCATGATAAGTATACTTTTTTTAAAAAAAAGATTTTATTTATTTGACAAAGAGAGAGAGCAAAAGCAGGGGGAGAGGCAGAGGGAAAAGCAGGCTCCCCACTGAGCAGAGTCAGACGTGGGGCTAAATCCCATGACTTGAGACAAAGGCAGATGCTTAACTTACGGAGCCACCCAGGTGCCCCATGATAAGTATACTCTTTTTTCCATCACCGATTTCATCGATCTCCTCATTCACCTCCCCGTCAGTAACTACCAGTTTGTTCTCTATAGTTAAAGTCTGGTTTTTGATTTGTCTTTTTTGTTTCTTTCTTCCACATATGAGTGAAATAATATATTTGTCTTTCTTGGACTTAGTTCACTTAGTATTATACTCTTTAGAGCCATCCGTGTTGTTGCAAATGGCAAGATTTCATTCTTTTTTATGGCTGAGTAATATTCCCGTGTGTGTATATGTGTGTGTGTGTGTGTGTGTGTGCACGTGTGTGCGCACGTGTGCATGTATCACATCTTCTTTATCCATTCATCTATTGAGGGATACTTGGGCTGTTTGTTCATTCTTAATAGTTTCCCTATAAACTCATCTTTGTAATCTCACTTTCTATTTCTTTGAACAGTTAATGACAGGGATTTTGTATTGGGCAATTACAATCCTTAGGAATCTATATCTGTTATTTCTTGCCTTTGTTCAGCATTTGTAGTAGTCTTGTGTGATTATTTTGAGATCAATTTCTTCTAAAATGTGAGATCATATTTCTTTTAAAATGTGGGTGTTTTCTGGCTATACTGCAAATTTTCTTCAAAAAGGGTTTGCTTCATTGTTAACCAGGAGTACTGTTTCTCACTCACTAAACCTCTGATACCTCCCTAGAGGACTTTTGATAATGAAGAAAGTTTCTCCTGTAACTTCGATTATTCCAAAGGTCAACGTGTTGCTTTGGTCTTCAGGCCTCAGGAAACCCTTCCTTGCTGCCTACACATCTTTAGTTTCTCTCCACCTCTCAGCTCTTTGCTGTTCCAGTCCTGAATCTGGCATCTGTTGATCTGACCCTGGTGACCCCTTACCCTGGATCCTGGATATTCCCACCCACAACATAGTCTTACCTCCCACTCAGGGCTCAACCCTCATTTGTCTGTTTGGAGTGGAGCAGCTCTCAGAGACCTCTATGAGAGCAGCAAGACTACACACAAGTTTTGTGGGTTTTTTTTTTTTATTCAATTAGCCAATATACTGTACATCAT